CACTATGGAAGTAGATTGCCCCATCTTCCTTCTGAGGAGTTACTGGTGGGTTTGAACCGCCAGTCCTCTGGTTAGCAGTCCAGTGCCTTAGGCACTATGCTATTATATGACAATAGACACTTAATATACCACTTCATAGAAAGATTTAAATAAATTAAAAAAATTAGGTTGCTCTTCAGTAATCTTCAGTGGTTTTTCAGTACTGTTTAGTCATTTGGATTTTGCTGGCAACTGTTGAGCAGGTCTGTCAGCGCCAGTTTTCTAACAGCATGTGCGTCATGTCTCTTGTGTCACATTTTGGTAATTTTCACGATATTTCAAACTTTTTCATATGTTTTTGCACACTTAGTAAACTAAGTGTAGTGTAAACAATTTATTTGCACTGGGAAACCCAAGTTCATGTTACTCACTTTATTGGGGTATTCACTTTCTTGCAGTAGTCTGGAACCAAACCTGCACTATCTACCATGTATGCCTGTGGGGCTGTTGCTAACTGCTCTCTCTCCGTACTTGGAAAGACAGCTCTAGATTTTCTCTGTGATTCTTTGCTGCTTTCTGCCTCTGATTCTGTCACTAAGTGGTGGTGATGACTTGATTAAAACCTTCATAGTCTTTAAATTATTCCCTACTCAACAGGTATTTATTGACTAATGTGTATTTATGTACTATCTGTCTCCTTAGTAACTATCCTGCAAGGGACCAATGCCTTGGACTCTCCAGTCAAGCCCTTTAACATGATTTTCACCAATCCAAGTTATTTCTAGAGAGAATCATTGGAAGGACATTTAAATAAGACAACTTTGATTTCTTTTGAACTTTTTAGTGTCTTTGCATTTTTCCAAATGTTAAAACATTTATAAAAAACACAGTTCTCTCAAAGTTTCATTAGGGAGCATGCTTATATGTAATGCATATTTATAATTCCCTGCCTCCTAAAAACAAAGCTAAATGTTTATAACCATGGTTATATCAATTTCTTGTCATATCAGTCCTCGTCTTTAGTGTTGGCTCTTGTAGTATCTAAAGAGAGCTGCTTAAGCATTCCTGTGTACAAGTCTGGCAATGTCAGAGGTGGCAAAGAGGAAGTTGCCTTTTGCTTCCCTAACAAAGACCTCATTCCTGTTGATACGATCATTCCCAGAGAGAGAACTGGCAATCAGTCTTCCATAAAATTAGTTCCATGTTGTTACATGGTGTTGACTTGGTTCTGACTGAAGGCGACTGTGGTAGTTTGGTTTGTGTGTCAACTTGGCTGGGCCTGGTTGAGTGGCTGGGCAGCTGGTGGTAGTTAAACCCCATGAGGAGACTGGCAATCAACTCCATGGTGGGATCTACCACAAGCAGCTGGGTTAGCTGCCTTTGGGTATGTGGTCTGCTTCCTACATATAAGGAAAAGACTTGGGGAATGGTCTCGAGCCTATGGCATGCTTGGACCCTGCTTGTAGCTGTGTCATTGCTCAGCAGCCTGCCATGCTCTGTCGACCTGGGGACTTACAATGGACTTAAGTTAATGGCCTGCTGTGTGGATTGGTAACATCGGGACTGGACTGTGCTTTTTACTTGTCAACCTTGGGGTTTCTCAGCCTCAGCAGCCAACAGCTGTCTGAGTGAAGAAATGCCTCTAGCTTCAGTGGGCTGGGAGCAGAAGGCAGAGCTGGACCCCAAGGTTGAGGGGCTTTCACCCAGCCCCTAGAGCCTGGCACTTTGAACTTGGACTTAAAGCCTCCAAATTGTAAGAATAAACTCATGTTTGTTAAGGCCATCCCATTTGTGGTATATTCTTGTCAGAGCAGCACTAGGAAACCAGGACAGTGACCCTGCGTACAACAGACTGAAACACTGCCCGGTCCTGTGCCATCCCACACTAAAGGGCCACTGTGTTATTCCATCTCACCGAGTGTCTTCCTCTTTATCGTGGACCATCTACTGTACCAAATGTGATGTCATTCTCCAGGGAGTGGTTTCTCCTGATAACATGTCCAAAATATGTGAGCTGAAGTTTTGTCATCCTCACTTCTAAGGAGCATTCTGGCCGTACTTCCAAGACAGATTTGTTTGTTCTGACAGTCCATGATAGATTCAACATTCTTCACCAACACAGTAACTCAAAGGCATCGATTCTTTGGTCTTCCTTACTCATTTTTCAGTTTTCACATGCATATGAAGTGACTGAGAACACCATGGCCTGGGTCAGGCACACCTTAGTCTTCAAAGTGACATCTTTGTTTCTGAACATTTAAAAGAAGTCTTTGCAGTAGATTTGCCCAATGCAATACATTTTTGACTGCTGCTTCCATAGGCAATGATTATGGATCCAAATAAAGTGAAATCTGTAACAATTTCTGTTTATTCTAGTAAATTTCTCCATTTATTGTAGTGTTGTTTATTGGTCCAGTTGTGAGAATTTTTATGTTGAGGTGTAATCCACACTGAAAGCTGTAGTCTTTGTTCTTCAGCAGTGTTTTAACTTATCTTCACTTGCAACAAGCTAAGTTGTGTCATCTGCATATCATAGGTTGTTAATCAGTCTTCCTCTGATCCTGATTCCACAATGTTCTTCAAACAGTCCAGGTTCTCAGATTATTTCCTCAACATTCAGACTGAATATGGTGAAAGGATTCAACCCTGATGCACACCTTTCCTGATTTTAAACCATGCATCTCCTTGTTTTGTTCAAACAGCCTCTTTGTTATGCACATATTCTGCATGAACATAAATGAAGTGTTCTGGAATACACGTTCTTCACCGTGTTATTTATAAACTGTCATGATCCACACAGATGAGTGCCTTTGCACAGTCAATAAAACACAAGTAAACATCTTTCTGGTGTCCTCTGCTTTCAGCCAAGATCCATCTGACATCAGAAGTGATATCCCTTGTTGCACATCTTCTTCTGAATCCGGCTTGAATTTCTGGCAGTTCACTGTTGATGTTTTGCTGCAACTATTTTTGAACTATCATCTTCCATAGAATTTTACTTGCTTGTGATATTAATGATATTGTTTGGTAATTTCCACATTGTTTTGGATCATGTTTCTTTGGAATGGGTACAAATAACGGATCTCTTCTAGTCAGCTGGTGAGGTCTTCCAAACTTCTTGGTGAAGAACAGTGAGTGCTTCCGGCATTGGATCTGTTTGTTGAAACATCTCAACTGGTGCTCTGTCAGTTCTGGAGCTTTGTTTCTCACCAGTGCCTTCAGTGCAGCTTAAACTTCTTCCTTTAATACCATCAGTTTTTGATCAAATGCTACTTCCTGAGATGGATGAATGTCAATCAATTCTTTTTGGTACAGTGACTCCATGTATTACTTTCTTCTCTTTTTGATGCTTCCTGTGTCGTTTGGTATTTTGCCCACAGAATCCTTCAATACTGCAACTAGGGGCTTGAATTTTTCTCTGCAGTTCTTTCCGCTTGAAAATGCCAAGTGTGTTCTTCTCTTTTGGTTTTCTAACTCCAGGCCTTTGCACATTTATTTCATTTTAATACTTTGTCTTCTGAAGCCACCCTTTAAAATCGTCTGTTGAACAATTTTACTTCATCCTTTTTTCCATTTGCTTTAGCTACTCTCCATTCAAGAGCAAGTTTCAGAGTCTTATTTGACATCTCTTTTGGTCATTTCTTTCTTTCTTGTGCTTTAAATGACTTTTTGTTTTCTTTGTGTATGATGTCCTTCATGACACCTCACAACTTGTATGGTCTTAGGTCATTAGTGTTCAGTGTGTCAGATCTATTCTTGAGATTATCTCTAAATTCAAGTGTGATATATTCAAGGTTGAACTGTAGTTCCACAGTAGTTTTATATAGTTCTCGGACCACTAAACCACTAAATCCCTTTGTGATGGTCAGCTGTGAACAGAATTGAAGTGACTGCAGAATGAATTTCATCCAGTCTAAAAATACGGTGTGAACACTAGGCTGAGTTGGCCTACTACCATAGTTCATCAATTCTAAGAGTGGTCCCCCCCCAACATTTTAATATGTGCAATATTGGCATATATTACGATAGATGTTATTGTAGATTAGGTACAATCTATTAATATCTAACAGTGCAGAGGCAGCACTACATCAAATGTAGTCATTTTTTGTGAGAAGTTATTTTTCTTTAAAGCTGTATTACTAGTGGATCTAGGGTTATCTGAGTTTCCTTCCCATTCTCCTAACAGAGAATCCTGATGATCGGTGGGAATGGCAGTAATGGGTAAAGAACAGCTGGTGAAGCCTGAACTAGCTGGTAGCTGTAAGGTTGAGGCAAGTGTGACAAATCCCTGTCAGTGATTTTCAGAGACACAGCTCACATATGCATGTTTTCATACAATTTGAAAAAAAAATATACTTGAAATCTGTAAACAGTGCTAGGCTATATGACTTAATGCTGTGGTGTTTTTGAAGTGTATGCTGTTATGTATATTTTCATACATAAATCAATATAAAAATCATATGGTCAACAGAGTTACAGGTAATTCTATAAAAATAAGTTTTATTAACAAAATTATCTCAGAATAAAAAAAAAACAGATACATGGATTCATTTTCCTAATTTTTTGGCATCATTTTTCTTTTTAGGTGCAGCACTGTAGGCAACCAAGTAAGACTAGTTCCAGCTAAGGCCTGAGAAACTATGAAAAACAAACACACACCATGTAAGACAACCAGTCAGTCATCTTTTCCCTTCTCTTCACTATTAAAGTCTCAGAAAGCTGTATCTGTCACATTTATGCTGCTCCTCATCTTGTTGCCTGACCACCCTGGCTCTTCCAGAGAGCCAGAAATGGGAAGAAGATGAGTCTACAGTTAAAGTTCTTGCTAGGAATTCAGGCTAGAAGATGATGGTCGTTAACTCCAGATTATTTCATGCAAGGGCCACTTCTTCATTACTTAAACAGAGGTTTCACAAAGATACCTAACAGCTCTTTGTCCCCTTCTTCAGCTTACCTGCACTGGCAGCCACTGTGACAGACTCTTAATATTTCAGGGAATTGGAAATGGCCCAGATGCTCATTTAGAACTTCTGTAAGAATTTGAGGACAAGATCCCGCAGTCGTACCCTGAGCATCTCGTCATTGTCACAAATGATATGAGTTGAGTCTTCCTCAATCTGGATCAGTGTTTCTGCCTCCTGGAGCAGGACAATATGGCCCTTAGCCGTATCTTCCACCTTAATATCACTGAAGCCATGCTGCTCCAAAAGAAAAGAAAAAGGGAGATTGATAGTATTCTGAAAAACAAGGGGCTGACTAAGAAGATAGGATTAATATTTCAGTAACTGAAGGCTCTAAAAATACTTCAGACTTGATGAAACATTCTAGGAACTGAAATTTTTGACACTCTTCAATACAGCTCTTCAGACTAGTGATAGAGCCTACTAGTCCAACAACAGAAGTCAACACAGTTTCAATATACTTTAAAAGATGCTCCCATGAGTAGCTGAACTTGTGGGCTCGGGACCATAGTTGGCAGGGGACATCAAGCTCAATTGGCAATAACATACTGCACAAAACACTGTTCTGGTGAGTAGCAACTGGGATCTTAAATGCTTACAAGCAGCCATCTAGATGCAACGATGGGTCTCTCCTTGTCCAGAGCAAAGACGAATGAAGAAAACCAAAGATTCATGGAAACAATTGGTCCTTGTGACCTGTACACCATGTACATAGCCTATACAACTATGAGACCAGAAGAACTAGATGATGCCCAGCTACCAATGTCAACCACTTGGAAGGAGATCTATGTAGGAGATCCTGGACAGAAAGGGAGAACAATGTGGAACAAAACTCAAAATCATTTGCAAAAAAAAGGGGGACCAGGTTTGCTGGTCTGACAGAGCCTGGTGGAACCACTGAGACTATGGCCCCTAGCTGCCCTTCAGGTCTGGAATTGAACCCATACCTGTGGCTTTCAGCCAAACGAAAGACAGGCATATGAGATGAACATTTACACTAGGTAGATACACTCCTTGGAGAGAACAATCATGGGAGAAAGAAGGGCTGTGTATGCACAGGGAGACAGCTCAGGGGACGGGTGCATGGAGGGATGGACACTGGGAAGAGGTAACTATCCGGAGGAAGTGGGAGGGGAGCTGTTGCATTGGGATAAATTGTAGTTAAAGTCATGAGACAAAGTGTGTGTGAACTGCTGTATGGAAAGTGAATTTGCTCTCTGAACTTTCACCCAAATCACACCCACACACCCACACAAAACAACTCCCAGACATGCAAAATCTCATGCAAACATGACAGAATTTCTACAACCTGCTCAAGCTTTTGCAAATTATTTGAGGAGCACATCCAAGCACCTATGTTCTACGATGTTCCTGTCATCAGCCTCAGTACCATGCCCATGTTTCCTGGTAACAAGGCTCCTTCCTAAGTCTCAGCTGTTGTTCTGAGATCCCAGGAAAATGCCAGTCCTGACAGCAGGACATCACTGATCATGGGAATCAGCAAATTCCTCTGAAGGGAGAAGGAGATAAAGTAGCATAGCAAATACCTTTCTAGCTATATCTCATGCTGATTAAGGAATCTTACAAATCTCAACATACAGTTGAGAAAGAAGAAAAGTTGAAAGAAGAGTGATTTGCCTGAAAGGGACACAAAACAGGTAAAGGACACTGACCTGGGGAGATGCTCCACATTTAGTTACAGAAAGCACATTGTAGTTTTAGACAGTTACTGATACTCCTCCTCCAGTGAGATGAGGCAGAAACAGCAGACGGGAACATTCAAGGTTAAGTCCTTGGGGTAAACTGCTAGAGGAATTGCTTTCTAGGAAGCAAGTTGTTTAGTTTTTAATAAGTCAGTCAAGCTTAAGACTTGTCAGTATGGACCAAAAGCACTTCTGGCTTGTCAATGAAGCAAATGCAAGTAAATTCACCTACATCACATAGTTTGTGTGTGTCTAAAAGAACTCAACAATTTAGCTTTTCTTCTGGGGGAAATGAAAAGATGAAGAAATTGAATGAGGAAAAAAAATAATAGTGGAGAAAACAAATTCTAATAAAAAGAAAGCATTTAAGAGCTCCATAATTGAGATATTTAGTTTGGACAAAGGCAGATTAAAAAGGAGTTTAACAGAAGAACATCTCCTTTCTTGTAATTATTTGTTAGAGTTAATTGCAGTTCTTCTAAGAAGCACCATAAATATAATTTTTAGCCAATTCCTTCCTATCAAGGAGGCACTTGACTGCTAACCAGAAGGCTGGCAGTTCAAATCCACCAGCCACTCCTCGGAAGGAAGGTTGGGCAATCTACTTCCGTAGTGATACCACCTTGGAAACCCAAGGAGGGGTCGCTATGAGTCGGGTCTGACTTGATGGCACATAACAACAACAATGCTTAAACACTGGTACCCAAAGTCCTGCAACTGAAATTTAACTAAATATATTGAACTATAAATATGGTTTAAAACTGCAGTCAAGAATAACTTCAATGGGAGAAACAGATTATAGGGAGAAGGGTGTGGCATGGATAGTTGAGAAACAGATTATAGGGAGAAGGGTGTGGCATGGATAGTTGGACAGCGTGCTCCAAGATGACGGCCCACTTGCTCTCTTCCTGCCCCATCTGGGAACTGCTGGGCTTGTTTCCTGAACTCCCAGGGGCCTATCAGCACTGATGCCCTCTGCCCACAATGCCTGCCTCAATCCTGGCTCAGCTTAGAGACCCACATTTGCTGTGACCTGGCTGTGCTGACTTCTCTGACAAGAAGGGGTACTGTACGCAAGTGACACTGTGGAGGGAATGGTCCCTCTTCAGCCTTGCTGTTCTCATCCTGCCCAGTCTGTCACATCTGCGTCTTTTAAGAGAAGCTTTTTCTCAGTCCAGTTCCCACAGGAAATGGGGTTTGAAGAGGAATTTTTCTAACTACCTACTACTTGATGGCTAGGAAAGGGCTGGAAGAGAAATAACTGGGACACACAAGGAGAAGGAGGGCATTCTCTTGTCTTGATTCTGATTTCTTCCCAGTTCTGCTGTTGGCATGACTCTAAACCATGCAGGTGCCACAGGGGCAGTAGCTCAGACTGGGAGGCTAGGTGAGGTGGCAGCATAAACTGAAAGCTTGAATTCATCAGGTGTCAGGAACCTACTCACCTTCTCTAAGGTCTGTACAAATTGCTCCACAGGAATGGCGCCACTCAACAAAGGCTTCACAGCTTTGCAGTCCGGAATGTCATCGCTCACCCGCTTTCTCTTCTTACCACTTGTGGGCTGGGAGGGCCTTGGAGGAGGCTAGAGCAGAAAGAAAATGTGAATCTCAAGAACTCAATCTAGAAAAGCAGAGGCTAGGGTAGGTGACATTTAGAATTTGAGCTGGCTGGTGGCTGAGTCAGTCCATCCTATCCTCTGGGAATCTCTTCTCTGATACACATGTGTGGTGTGCAAACTCAGCAGGCACCAGAGTTTGGGGTCACTGTTAGCCAGGGGTTCCATCTGGAGCTCCTTGCGATTCCAATAAGCTAATGTCAAATGTCTTAGTTATCTAGTGCTGCTGTAACAGAAATACAAGTGGATAGCTTAACAAACAAATTTATCCTCCCAGTTTAGGAGGCTAGAAGTCCCAAGTCAGGGCTCTAGGGGAAGGCTTTCTCCCTATGGTAGCTCTGGGGGAAGGTCCCTGTCTCCTTTCAACATCTGTGGGCCTAGCGTCCCCTGGAAATCTCTATGTGTCTTGGCATCAATCTTCCCCTGGGTCTAGGAGGTTCTCAGCTCAGGGTCCCCAGGTCCAAAGGACATGCTCAACTCCTGGCTCTTCTTTCTTAGTGTGAAGTCCTTCCCCTCTCTATTTGCCACTCAAAAGATGGCGGCCTACCTTGCTGCTTTGAATTTGTGTTGCTCTCTCCAGAATGCTGCTGATAATGTTGCTCTCCCAAAGTCCTGCCACAGCCCTTCCTCCTGAAAGTTTCAGCAGCCTGATGTGGGATACTGGATTACTGGCAGGACTTCGAGAGCAACACACATTCAGAGTGGTGGTCAGCAGGCATCTCTGAGCAGGGTACAGCGGTTTTGTTTCCTCCAAACCAAACCAAAATGACTGTCATCGAGTCATTGAGTCAATTCTGACTCACAGCAACCCCCATCAGGTTTCCAAGGCAGTAAATCTTTACAAAAGTGGAAGGCCCCATCTTCCTTCAGGTAAAAATACTATGGGTAATAGATTTGGTTGCTATATAACATGTTGTTGTTGTTGTTGTTAAGTGCCGTCGAGTCGTTTCCGACTCATAGCGACCCCATGCACAGCAGAACGAAACACTGCC